TTGTATTTAATGGTGAATGTAGGTCTGACGCCATGACCAATATTTATCAATTAAGTTTCAGTAGGGGGTAGGGGGGTTTGGAAAAAAACTAAAGGAATTAAGTTTTTTTATCCGACATCGATCTTTTGACGTCGTCCCTAAGTGATCAATAGTACAATTCATGATTAAAGGAGAGCAGAGGTCTGGCTTTTGTCATTCCGTATGAATTAATTCTGACTATAAAAAAACAACTTGTATGTGCTGCGAAATGTCCTAAACGTCGGGTATAAAACGGGCTGTTGAGTTGTCGACAAACGTCCTCTTTGCATGGCGTAATTTCGTCTCTCGGGGGCGCTAGGTGATGACATCATGTCAGGTACGGCACGTATGCTATATTATCAGAAACTTTTGCTTCAGTCATTATTCTGTCATTCATCTACAAGCATACTGATACTAGTACATGACACATGCAAGTCGAGGCTACCCGTAATATATAAAATATCGAAACAGAAGCTATGGGTGACTCGTTGCCTGGATTAAAACCATCTATGATACAAACGAGGTGACATGTACATAGTTTGATGAGTTATCCACGGTTACTAAAAAAGACCGTGAGTTATCTCATGAACTGCCTCATGTAATCATTTAATTTTACAAGTTTATCTTCATGATGACAGCTAGTATCTCTCACAGACTTTTAAACTGTTCATGGAAAAACTTATCCAGCAGAATCTTGAAATGGAATTTAGAACTTTATGAAATCCATGGTAACCAGAACAATTAAATTTCGGTTTGATTTGATGATTAGATACCAAAATCTTAAGTGTTTAAGGTTGTTATCATTTTCCATAGTTTTCACAATATTAATATATATCTGTAATACAAAGTGGGAATGCACCTTTAACCATTTGAACACCAAAGTCAACTGTCGTCACAATTCACAATATAGTTCGATATCCCAACTGTGCATATTAATCAGGTAATTTGCATATCATTAACCATTTGAGCACAAGGTCAACTTTTGTCATCATTCACAAAATAGTTCTATATACCATCTGTTCATATTAATTAGGTAATTTGCATATCATTAACCTTTTGAGCACCAAAGTCAACTTTGTCACTATTCACAAAATAGTTTTATATACCGTATATATTAATTAGGTAATTTGCATATCATTAACCCTTTGAACACCAAAGTCAACTTTTGTCACATTCACAAAGTAGTTCTATATACTGTATATGCATACTGATTAGGTAATTTGCATATCATCAACCATTTGAACACCAAAGTCAACTTTTGTCACATTCACGAATTAGTTCTATATACCGTCTTGTGCATATTAATTAGGTAATTTGCATATCATTAACAATTTGAACACCAAAGTCAACTTTTGTCACATTCACGAATTAGTTCTATATACCGTCTTGTGCATATTAATTAGGTAATTTGCATATCATTAACCATTTGAACACCAAAGTCAACTTTTGTCACATTCACAAAATAGTTCTATATACCGTCTTGTGCATATTAATTAGGTAATTTGCATATCATTAACAATTTGAACACCAAAGTCAACTTTTGTCACATTCACGAATTAGTTCTATATACCGTCTTGTGCATATTAATTAGGTAATTTGCATATCATTAACCCTTTGAACACCAAAGTCAACTTTGTCACCATTCACAAAATAGTTGTATATACTGTACATGCATACTGATTGGGTAATTTGCATATCATTAACCATTTGAACACCAAAGTCAACTTTTGTCACATTCACAAAATAGTTCAAAAACCGTCTTGTGCATATTGATTAGGTAATTTGTATATCATTAACCATTTGAGCCCCAAAGTCAACTTTTGTCCCTATTCACAAAATAGTTATATATACCGTATGTGCATATAAATTAGGTTTTTTGCATATCATTAACCATTTGAGCACCAAAGTCAACTTTTGTCACCATTCACAAAATAGTTCTATATACCATCTGTGCATATTTATTAGGTAATTTGCATATCATTAACCATTTGAGCACCAAAGTAAATTGTTGTCCCTATTCACAAAATAGTTCTATATATCGTATGTGCATATTAATTAGGTAATTTGCATATCATTAACAATTTGAACACCAAAGTCAACTTTTGTCACTATTCACAAAATAGTTCTAAATACCGTACGTGCATATTAATTAGGTAATTTGCACATCATTAACCATTTGAACACCAGTCAATTTTTGTTCCTATTCACAAAATTGTTCTATATACCATATGTGCATATTAATTAGGTAATTTGCATATCATTAACAATTTGAACACCAAAGTCAACTTTTGTCACTATTCACAATAGTTCTATACATGTATACCACATGTGCATATTAATTACGTAATTTGCATATCATTAACCATTTGAGCACCAAAATCAACTTTTGTCACAATTCACAAAATAGTTATGTATATCGTGTGTGCATATTAATTAGATAATTTGCACATCATTAACCATTTGAACACCAAAGTCAACTTTTGTCACAACTCACAAAATAGTTCTATATACCGTCTGTGCATATTAATTAGGTAATTTGCATATCAACCATTTGAGCACCAAATTTAACTTTTGTCACCATTCACTAGTTCTATATACCATCTGTGCATATTAATTAGGTAATTTGCATACCATACACCAAATAATTCTGTCTTGTGCATATTAATTAGGTAATTTGCATATCATTAACCATTTGAGCACTAAAATCAACTTTTGTCACATTCACAAAATAGTTCTATATACCATCTGTGCATATTAATTCTGTAATTTGCATATCAACCATTTGCGCACCAAAGTCAACTTTTGTCACCATTCACTAGTTCTATATACCGTCTGTGCATATTATTTAGGTAATTTGCATATCATGCACCAAATAATTCTGTCTTGTGCATATTAATTAGGTAATTTGCATATCATTAACCATTTGCACACCAAAATCAACTGCCATCACCTTTCATAAAATAAAATATTTTTCCTAGATTTTTTCACAAAATTTCGATCAAGATCTTTTGCTTATAGAAAATTATGTCCAAAATTATCAAAAAAAGTTATAGAAAAATACTATAAGACAAAATGTTGCACCAAAACTTAGGTTGGAAAAATTATATGGATTCATAGCGACGTACACAATGCATTTAAAATACATTTACATGGAATTCCAGCATGCCCTGCGTGACAACCCTTTAAAGATAATCTACAGACTTTAAATACTGAATGTCTAAAAATGCAAATTAGACAAGATTACATACAATGAAAAGCAACAACAAAATGGGAGACAAACTAAATTTTTTATTTTATTTTTTTATTACATTACATGTATTTACTAGAACATATCACAACGTAGAAGCAATGTTCACAAATATTTGAGGAATATACTGTAAAAGCATTTTCTCCGGAGTTTAGTTTCACCGTTTCCAATTTCATGAATTTTTTATTTTCTATATATATTTATGTGGATTCTGATTTTACTTTTTCGGTGAAATCAAAACCGAGTACTGTAAAATACTTTATTTTAGCTGGGATTAATTTTCGCTGAAAAACATTATAGGTGTTTTGTATGGAGTTTATTTTTCTTGATTTTTGACAAGTTGAATGTAAAACATAGGAAAAAAGGTACATTTGCTGGATTTTATTTTTAGTGAATCATTCCCTTCAGCAAAAATAAAGAATTTTACAGTAAATAAATAATGCGTATACAGTAAACACTTTAAGTGCCAGTATATTTTTTATATTGTTCACTTAACATTTATCACCAGCAGGTTCAGATAAAACGCATGATAAAAAGATCCATATTAGCCATATGCATGTACAAACATTTTGCAACTTTACATACATCACATGTCATTTTATTTTCCTCCACACACATGTGCAATCTATTACAATAGCGATACATGGAAACATTTTATACTTTTCAAAATAACTGAAAAATAACAGACTATCACAAAGCTTAGTTCATTAGATATGAATGTAAAAAAACTAACAAGTATATTCAGTTTTATAAATTGTTTTTTTTGTCAAATTAAGTTTTATATATGCAATCCTATCACTTGTAGGATCTAATAGACAAGGATGTTCATGTTCGAGGGTTTTCTCAAGTCTGTCAAAAATATTTCACAGATTACTTTATGATATTGATTAGTAAGGTCAGAATTAGAGCCAGATTACCATGATAAAATGGTTTTAAAAAATAATAAATCAGACCATCCTCAAATTTGGCTCTCAGTCTTAATTATTTCTAGTTCACTCTAATAACAGAACTTTTGTTTAGATAAAATGACAAACTTTTGAGAAGAACCCTCGCATATGCTGCCTCTCTGCAAGGTATACATTATGATCGCAATAAGGAAGCATACTTGGGAACACCTCAATTTGTCTTAAGTTCAAACCAAAAACTGTTTTACCCTGTACTGGTCCGGTTCAAAGAAAAAAAAAAGGTCTACATCAGACTATTGTCTTGCTGACAGCCTGGTTACACTAATTATGACAAATAGTAGTTAATTAAAAATGATTATACAAGGCAATGATCCAACTCACCAGACACCAGCTAGCTATGATGCAATCAATTATCTGTTAACATGAGTATGATACACTGTACAAAAGTGCTCATGATTAACAGAAAAAATCTGACAATACCATTTTTTTTAATTAAACTTTGTTTAAAAACGGAGTTGTATTGCAGATAAGAAACGTATAAATATATTCAGATTAATTAGAATAGATAAATTGCTGTTCACTGCATCAAATGGAACATAAACACAAACACAGCATCATGTCGTCAAAAAATCACGCGAGAGTATTTTCACGCTGAATAATGTGCTTATTCACATTTGATGGTAAATTTGCTTAGGGTTTTCTCAATACAATACCCCCCCCCCTCAATAACCAACATTTTGATATTGAGCTATGAAGAATGTTTTTCAATTTTTGCAGACGATGTTTAGTTCATGCCCCCCTTGCAATACACAAGATTTTGTAGTGAGCAGGAAAATCGCACGTTATGCAATCAAAACAAAGTTCTTAGAAACATTAATGTGCAGCAGCGATCAAGAATTTTTGAGTAAAGAATGAACATCCAGACAATTCACTGAGCAAAGATTCTGATCAAAAGTTGATATATTTATATATGCTTGAGGATTGACAATTAGAAACTAGGAAGGGGGGGGGGGGGTCAGTTGAGCAAAAAATATTTAGTCCAAAATATTTAAAAAAAAAAAAAAAAAGAAACATCCTCATCAACAAAAGCTCAATAAATTATTTGAATGTTTTTTTACCATCACCCTTCCACAATATTTAATGGTCAATCCCTTACTACTACCTCTGACAGTTCTTTGACTGACTGGCCTTGTTACTTCAATGTAATATTCCATATAATTATGCATCCAGCACTGAATACTATAGAATTTATTAGCATTCCATAAAAAGCTATTTCTGCATTTCATTTGAAGCGCATCTGCATGGAAATTTCCCTAGTTTAGGGCAAACTACATCACCAACATTGAATGCGGTTCAGGTTAACAATGTTGAATTCAAAAACTTTACTTGCATCATACAGGCGTGCCAGAAACAGTTACTGAACTCAAAAGTTTACCCAGAGAAAAAGAAAACAATGTTTTTCTTGGCTATTTTGGGGTGTTACAAATGCATCTCATTCAATTGTTACTACAAGCAGGTAAAACAAGCCATGCATGGCACAGTCCCCGTTAGTAATCAAATTTAAGATATATAGTTTTGTTTATAGTAATATAGCTGGAACATAACCATATCAGGAATATGATTTTTTTTAACATTAACATTTGTATCTGATCGTCAAAAAAGTACTTATCCATATTGAGAGATATTGCTCTGGAACAGCATTCAAAATCAGCCATTTTGAATACATGTATATATATAACATGATGTATAACGAATATATAAAATTTGAATATAATCAGTCAAAGCATTTAAGAGATATGGCTCTAGAAGCCCAATCATTAAAACAAAATGGCCACCAGTCAACCATTTTGAATCCAATCTGAAAAATAAAATGACGTGCATCAGGAACCTGTAATGTCTAATGTATGTATCTATCAAGTTTGAAAGAAATCCATCCATAAATGCCAGAAATGCTTGATATTTGATGATTTTTTAGCACAAAAATGACCACCATTCAGCCATTTTGAATAGGATCGTCAAACCAATACATCTGTCTATCTATGACATGATGTATAATGAATATTTAAAATTTGAACATAATCAGTGAAAGCAAGTCAGAGATATGGCACGAGAACCACATTCATTAAAACAAAATGGCCGCCATTCGGCCATCTTGAATCAGATCGTAAAACAAAATGATGTGCATCAAGGTCCTATAATGTTTAATGTATATATACCAAGTTTGAACAAAATCCATCTGTAAACAGCCGAGAAATGCTTGATTTTGATGATTTTTAGCACAAAAATGGCTGCCATTCAGCCATCTTGAATCAGATCAAGAAACAAATTGACGTGCATATGTGTAATATCATGTATGATGTATGTGTGAAGTTTGATTGTGATTGGTCCAGGCATTTCTAAGATACAGGTCCGGACGCACGCACAGACGCACGCACTGACACATGGAGGTCAAAACATAAGTCCCCGTTTTCGGACTGCGTCCGAACGGGGACTAATAATAAGGTTATCACAAGAATACCAGAAAGTTTGCACTCAGTCGGTATAGGATCACCTAACTGATATCCTTGGGCTAACTTCTCGTGGTACCTTAAACCCATCAGTTGACATTCACGGTTTCATACTTTCATTATTAATATTCTTATCTGAATTGATTAAACATGTCATTCCTCTAAGTAAAGTTCTTGACAGAGGCATCTGTTTTTTGCACATGACAGATTCAAAAGTAAAGCAACCAGTAGCTGGCTTGGCTGATCTAATGTAAAAATGAAAAACAAGGTGAAGGTGAAGGTGAAAGTGAAACGTGGAGTCTAAATGTTTCAAGAAAATTGAACAATACCATATTTGCCCTATTAGAAAATTAATACATAAATTAGAGATCTTTTTATGGTCAAAATAAGTAATATTTTAATGAATTAGTATACAGCCAATGCAATTTTTGGCTTTTATGCGCTTCTAATAAAGCAATTAAAGTACAGCATTACAAGAGTAACTGCACCCACTTCACAACACACATATACAACTAGTACCTGTATATACTTGTATATCTGATAAGTCAAACACAAAGCTGTCTTTAAAGTGAAGCTAGATACAAAGACACAAATTATAACAACAATTCATTGATTTTCATAAATATCTATCAAAACAAGCAGTCATTATCAAAAAGAAAAACATTTTATACTACTATATATAATTTTTTGGAAAAAAGTATAAAAAGAACTTTAAGTAAACCATCACAGAGTAGTCAAACTTTAGTTCATTTAACTTACTGGCCATTTATTCAACTCAGTTCAGCACAAATTTGCTTTATTTTCAAACATATATGGTAGCTGTTTCTTCATATATATATATATGGCAACTGTTCAACCAAATATGGTAGCTGTTCCTTCATATATGGCAACTGTTCAACCAAATATGGTAGCTGTTCCTTCATATATGGCAAGTGTTCAACCAAATATGGTAGCTGTTCCTTCATATATGGCAACTGTTTAACCATATACTGTAGCTGTTTAATTGTACATTGTACAGCTCTTGGAACAATAAACATTTCTCATGATTTCAGCGAAATCCCAAATGGGGTGATCCAACGTATACATCCAAAGAAGAATGACATTGCTGTGGAGGTTACTACTGGGTTAGTAGGAGCACTCGGCCACTGTCTATGCGATACTTCCACAGCAATTACAAAAACACATGGTGAGTTACAACTGCAGTCATTAGTGCAAGCTAGCGTAATCAAACAATTTTGGCTACTGATGTAGATTTCCCCCCATTTTGTTGAAATTTTGGCAGTTCTATAGAACAGAAAACTGACGATAAGAATTTAGAGAATTCTTCAATCCTTTAAATTTCACACATTTGATGATACGAAAAAGCACCCTCATGCGACAAAGCTATTCTTTCAGCGAGTTTATTCTGGCGCATATTTTGAGAGCTGGTCCTAGTTTCATGTTCATGGCACTCATAAGATGGTCCTCCTTTAACAGCAGCAATGCCTGTCCATCTATTTCCTGTGACTTGAATTCATCTGCATAGTCACTACAACCTGGAAGGGATCGGATGAAATCAAACACTTCATCAACTGACCATCTCTTTGGATCGGTAACAACTATTGGGTCTGTGTCAAGGTCATCAAAGTCGTCCTCGTAGTTTGGAGGAGTCTGCGGTGATGGTGTACTCTCTGATTGACAGCTGCTGCCTGTGTCATCATCAAACTGTCGCGGCTGAAAAAATAAAACAAACATTGTCACACGATAAAATGAGAAGCAGTAACACATTGCAGCTGAATTGTAATCCATACAGCAATGGCAGCATACGACACTATGGATGTCAACATACTATTTGCTAACAGAAACAATGTGCCATACTTCAGAAACAACAAGAGGCGTTGGTGTAGATGTGGAATGTGAACTTTGTTATTTGCCTGTTTTCAATATTACACTGGGTAACAAAGTTTTGAACCCAAAAACATGCCAAAAGCTCAAAATACCTAACCTACCGCCAATCCTAATTTCTCCCCCGAAACAAAAGCATTGTATTTGTGACTTGTGTAATTAAAAATGTTTTTTTTTTTGACAGAACCATCACCAAATTTTAACTACACCAATGCCAACAAGACAAATGTAAACCAATTCAATTTGGCTTTTATACATTTAAAAATGTGACAGATGGTTGACTGGCAAACTATCTAGCGAAACCACAGCCAAGGGAAGGGTTTGGCCAAATTAGCGGGGAAAGAAGACCCTGTTGAGCTTTTATACATTTAAACAATTTTGTAAAATTGATAAATTCACTGTCCGTGAAAATGTGACAGATGGTTGACTGGCAAACGAAATTCAAATAAGTCATTCATGAAATTATCATACTTCCCTGATCATAAGCTCGGGGATCTGAACATGTAAAATCGGGAAAATTAGGGGTGGGCTTATACTCGAGGACCACCCCAGAAAAGATATACTCTGGCTTATACTCTAGGAAGTACGGTAATATGATTAATAGTCATCACACCACATATGGGTCCCATAAGACGTATACAACATTATTGTTGATGGTCTCCCATCTTTGAAATACAAAATACTTGTTTTAGAGTTTGAATTTGCATTTCCTTAGTGTGGTCGGATGCAAATAACCTGTGCGATACCACAAAAATTATGGCATACTTACAACAATACAATGACATACTATAAAATACTTATTTTAGCTTGAATTAATTTTCACTGAAAAGTCATTTTGGGTGTTTTCCATGGAGTTGAATGTAAAATATAGTGAAAATTTTCACAGAAACATTCTTTCAGCAGAAAATAGCGAAAGTTAATTCCAAAAGTATTATACAGTAATACAATAATACACTAAGAAAACTTACTCGCTCTTCATGGATGTTAAAAGCCAATCTTCCATGTTTACCACGGAGACCCTTCGCCTTAAAAGTCATCTGCATCTTCTTGGTGTGCTTATTAAACTTGTACTTATTTGGTTTGGAAGGTTTAAATAACCCAAGCCTCTTGGAAGCAACCAACATTATACCTCTTGGCACACGCCATTGAACAAAATCTCTTTGATCTTTG